AAATAAGAAGATCATACAGTGTAATATATGGCCTCACTTGACTGTTATCAACACATTTCACAATGTTAATAATGCTTAGTGGTTTAGAAGAAAAAAAAGATTCGTGAGACCAAAAAACGATTGCTGCAGCCGCTACTTACCTGTAGACTACCCTTATTGCAATACTGAGTCAGTATCCAGATATTGGAGGTATCTACGCATGCGCCAATGAACCGATTTATGTTGGGATGTTGTACATCGAGCGCCTGTGACAGAAGGAACAAAATCATAAATATCGAAAATTCATCTTAAAGTTTATTGAATACGTGGAGTGGTATTGCAGAATGCGATGAGCGGAATATCTCATCATTTGTTTCCCTTTTTCTGTCCCCGTTCCTATTGAATCTATTGATGAATCGGTTTTACGTAGATGACCCCTCATTCCCTTCCGATTTGGGCCGCTATGCTGGTGGTTACCCTATATATCACTTGTACCTTGTACATTACGTCAAATTAATATGTACCCGTTTCCCCAGTTTTAGCATATACCAACTTGTGTACAGAGTAACTTATTTTACATACACAGTTATTCAATGAAAACAAACAAACAGAAACTTTTAGTTTGCGTGACAAATTCACGCAAAAGTTTTAGCAAAACGTTTAGCAAAACTTTTAGCAAAACGTTTGGGCCATACTCCGTTGACTTTTTAGCACTGATAGGAATGGCATTTCTCATYGGAAATTGTAGTAAAACGATTGCCGGCAGAGGCCATTTTGTTGCCGACTAAATATTCCAAGATTCAGAGGTCAATATTCACCTCCAAATAACCAATGAGCGCGCGCGTTCTTAGGAAGTACATAAGTTGGTATATGCTAATATATCATATCTACTCCTTTAATTTTCTCTTCGTTACTCCTAGCTCTTTCTTTTCCTTTCTTTTCCTTCGCCCCTTGCTTATTCCCCATAAGTAACCTGTTTCAGCTCCAGTAATATAGTTCTATCCAAAGTAATACTCGTTTTTCTGAGCTTCTTTACGGCAGCTAATGTCGACTGAATGTAAGAGATGAAGTAAGAAAARGATGAGTAAAGCTAAGTAATTCTGTTATAGAGGGATTTTACAACAGCCATGTTATGGGGTAAAAACAATGCCATGTTATTACAAGACAATACATTTTACTTTGTGGGAAAAAGGAAAAGATTTGTATTGTTGCATTGGAGCAACACTAGAAATCTTTTTTTTTTTTTTTCCTCTATAACATTTTTTTTTTCCTGTTTCAGTGAAAGGGAACTATTTCTTTCGAAGAACATTTAGTGGTCTTAAAAGAAAAACATTTTATTTTGCCAGCGGACGATAAGATTAAAACTTGGAAGAAGAGACTTTAGCAGTGCTAAATCTTTACTAAATAAGGCCCGTTCCCGATTAGCACATGAGTAGAGCGGCGTGTGAATCAAGCAAATTCGTACCTTGTAGATAGCTACGGTGGCAAATATTTGGCCACGCTGAAAGTCGTCTTTTGTGTTCATAACTTGTGAGTACATGCTGCCCAGATCTTCTACACTGCTGTCCTATGGGGGAAAAAAACAGGGATATTTGCGAGAAATATGAATTCATTCTCTTTGATATTACTTCTCTCCTTGTCAGAGAAAATATGGCAGTAATTGTTACCCCGCATAGACACTACCACTAGGTAATTTGATACCCGTGATGTGATAATGTTGGTAGTTGCAGTGGAGAATATTCATGTTTTTGTTACATACTTACCACGCTGCGTCTGCTGGKGTTATGGGAACCTATAGCAGACTATAAATAACACAAAATTAAACTTTGCATAAAACTCTCTATATARCGCTAGTTGCTGTGACATGAGCTATTGTCGTTACTATGCCAACCAGAGATCGATTCGCTGATGGAATTCCGCGCGCTTTAACTCAGAGGGCAACACTTCCCACTTCCTACATTATGGCCAACAAGCTGAACACAGATAGTCCAACYCCCTACATCATAAGCAGGACATGCTGAACATAGATAGCAGCCATACAAAAACTTATCTACAATAAAACATGTTTTACAACCACCACTCTTCATATGGGGCTATTGTTTGAGGGTCYCTCAACACACAYTACCACTACATTCTATATATGTACAATATACAACACTCAACTGACATGTTGAGCTTTACAGAGGGAGAAAACCCGAGAATCTAGAAAAAACGTTGTGGTAAGGGAGAGAACAACACATCAAACAAACTAAACTCACATATGATCCAGTCTTAGCCGGGGCTCGAACCCGGACCACAGTGGTGAGAGGCAAGCTGTAAACCACTACGCCACTCATGCCACCCTTCATAAGACTGTCCATGTATAAATACCCACCATGCTACGTCTGCTTTGACTCGACCCTAATAATCTCTTGGTGAAGGTCACATCCTCAACCTTCACTCGCCACATGTCACTGTTTAAAGATGATTCGAACAACTTCCTTCTATTAAAAGAAAGTGAAAATCGAGGATTTTAATAAAGTGTTGAGGTGCAAATACTGGATTAATATAAAGTGTAGTCTGCTAGGTAATGGTCTGGATACAGAGATGAAATGTAACAGCAGCATCAATAACAACACCAATACCGACAAAAACACATTTACGACAACGCCAATAAAATAAGCAGCGACAAGCAAATCGTCCCTTGCATCAACATGTCTAGTTATATGTCTACTTATATGTCTCTTGAACTTACTTCATATATATTGCCACAGCGACGACAACCAACAAGACAGTCAGGATGGCTACCAATACACAGATCAAAATCTTCAAAATATCTAAATCAAATTCAAAAATCAAAGATCAGCTAGAGACTCGTATGCCATGTACGTACCTCACATGATTTCATGTAGTATCATGGCATGAACCTCCAGCAKTTTTAGCGACCGCCTTACCTGGTGACGGGCAATACTCATCGTCAAATCCACAAAGAGGTCTTCCCAGGGGTGCAGTCGTTCCACCTCCTGGCCAATAGATGGTTGTGTTTGACATTATAAGTTTTTTATCCCAACTGTAGTACTCAGMGACTTTGACCATTTTGCCATTTCGGACGTTAGTCATTTGGAAAGCCAAGTATCGATCACCATGTTTGTCTATATAAACATTACCCGAGACGCCTGCAAAGAAAAGTTCTGATTATAAAGAATACTTCCACAGGGGCGGATCTAGATTGGGTTCGTGAGAATCATCCCATCCTCCTTTACCTCCTAAAATAAAAACAAGACCAGTCCTTTGTTTTGGTTCAGTTTTAGTGTTTTGGATCCAACCCTGAGTTCTGAAACCCTATTTCGTTGCGACGACGATTCCTTGCACGCTTTCTCCATTACTGTGCTTCACACCCAGTCAACACGCGCGTAAGAAGCAAGTCAGCTTATTTTGTTGATCAAATCCCTATTACTATTCCACGCTAGTGTTTACTAACCATCATCTACCCTATTACTAGTGTCCATCTCCCACGCCGAATCTCATAATTACCTTCAAAAGATCGATTGATCATTTGTCTGGTCACATCTCTACCACTCGTTATGTTTCCCCCAGCTTTTATCGTATCATTTAAAGCCATTGCGTAAAGCAGAACACTGTCATGTAGAAAACATGCGAACTCATCTACCTGTTAAATAAAAGGTGAAAAAGATGGAAATACTGATAATGAACTACCTTTAATTTGGTAAATGGAGTAGAGCAGCTAGATGATCGCAACACAGACAGACTGCACAAGTGTGCACTGGTTTTTAGATAGATGCATTGCTGGGTGCTGTGGTAAACAATACGGCAAATTAGTCCCTTTTTGCATGGGTCAAGACACGGTACATTTCTCAGGCTTATGAAAGTTGCTTTGATGGTTGACCCTCCGCAAACGTTGACACAGATCAGCAATTATATCGTATGGTGATTTACCTCATCAGAATGACGCATGTGATAATTCAAGCCAGCAAACTCSGGCATTCGTCTGCGCACTTCGGTCTTAAAACTCTGGTATTCAACAGTATTAGGGATGTACAYTCCAATATCCATCAACCCTTCGAATGCTCGGCAGGCCTCGGCGTTTCGCCCATCGGAGCCGCCTTTACATGTGTCCGAGAGTGTGAAGTAACTAAAGTATGCGTAGTCAGATGTTATCATCCCCATGTCAAGAAGGTTGAGGGCCATTTGACGAACACAAGGACCATAGCATGTGAAGATAAACACTGGACAATATAAGCGAGAAATAAAGAACAATTAAATGGTATTAGATGCAAGGGGCTCAGGACATTATAAAAAGGTGGCTGTTACAATGGAACCTCTATATTATACTGAGAYCTCTATATTACGGACAAATATTTAGATCCCGGCAAATTCACCATACATTCTTTGTTTCAAATTCCCGACATCTATATTATGGACACCTCTATATTATGGGCACCTTTTTCTGGCCCTTCGATGTCCGAATTATGGAGGTTCCACTATGCTATTTATTTTACACTCGATTTTCCTTGAATTGTGCGTAATGTTCATCAGCTGAGTCGCAAGTATTCGCAACAGCACATGGTGGTCAGTAATAGGCCTTTTTCTAATGGACCAAATCCACACTTGGGCGTGGCGTTTGCCCATTTCAGGTCGCGTCTCACTCTTTTGAGTATCACTCTCTTGAGAATAAGATTMTTTGTTTGATTTGAATCCGTATTCATGTGTCTTTTCATGTGCAACCATTAAACAAAGAAATAATAATCTAGGGAATGTGACGTGGTCTGAAATGGGAAATGAAATTGAATGAAATGGATTAGGCCCATTAGTCTGAATACCGCTGTGTTCTTTGATCATAGATGCGTTTATACAGGGTTAGCCTCATTTCACTGTAYAAACATTCACAAATACCAACRGTAAACCAAAGAATGCAACACAAACACTTTGAAATTCCAAGACTCCACTAGAATACATGAATATTCAAAATACTTTGATACTAATCCGAGTCTAACCCTGTKCAACAGAGAAAACACCACTTCCGACATGCTTTGCTTGTCACACAGAAACTCTGATTTAATGCGAGGCTTTGTTTCAATCTTTACAGTTTCTCATTTAATGTTATATCTATAGTATGTCATATTCTTCTATGCTGAACGGATTAAGTGTTCAAAAGATTGGTGTGGGTAGGRGAGGGGAGGGGATATTAGATGCCCACAGGTTTAGGGATTTTAGAAGTAAATRGTTGAAAGCTTTATGTTTTACAACGACGGACTCCAACAAGCATATCATGATCGAGGCCGGATAACACAGTTCCCACAGGGACCGACCCCATTTTTTGCGCCAAAATATGGATATAAATAAAAATCGTTTACTATCTTTTTATAGCTATTTTTCTTTTTTCAATATGCTTAATTTTCAAATGTCAACCCCACTTTTCAATCTTTGATATCATGCCGGCTCGCTCCGTACTAAGAGCTGATTGAAGACAGTTTTGGAAAATCGTTTGTGGTTGCTAAAAAATGGTGTGCTCATAAAGATTCATTACTAGACAAAATCATTTGATTTATACTGAGCTTATGACTGAGCAGATTCTATGGCTACCCTCATCAATGGAATTGAATCGATCCAGTGAGGTCTTTCTTGTTTTTTCAGTTGTTTACAAAGCTGAAGCTATCCATTCGACAGCCCCCCGGCAGTAAACTGCGATGTTATCTTTGCTAGATAGTAACTCTAATAGCCGCGAGGCAAAGCATATTCAAAACAATATGGCATATTGGTTCATTGGCTCTATATCTAATGCACAGTGGGTTGTGGCGCTGCTTAGGGTATTTTACAAACCCCCTAACGTTTGGGAAAATAGTAAACTAAGCGAGATGGCTTCCTAAACGCCCTAAGACCCCTCTCAGCTTAATTAACTTGAAGTCGCCTGGTGACAATCAGCCAATCAGCAAAAAAAAAAAAAAAAAAAAAAAGAATTGAATTCTGGCATTACCAAAATCGCCGCTGTCTTTGTATGTAAACAATGTTATCTTTCTGAAGGCGCATGTAACTTTAGTACGAATCCTATAGATGAGATATTCAATGTATTAAAGCTTTACAGATAATCGGTATAGTTTTAGCTTTAGCTATTTTAAATGGCCAATATAGTTTGTCTTTTCAACTTTCCGATTTTTTATAGATAAATTGAGACAAAAAGAAAAAAAGGAATAAGAAGTAAATAAGAATAAAGAAATAAATAAAGCAAAAAGCAAAAATATATTTTTTATATATGAYTGTTCTTATATTCAATATTTGTACAAGAAAAAAGAAAAAGAAAAAGAAAATGCTACTCAACATTATTAGGTTATTATAATAAAGGAAAAATAACGCTAGTTTTGCTGCTATTATTTATTTCTATTTTAAACACTCAAATGGTTTTCCGTGTACGGTGGTATACGATGTTTTAAAAGTCCTTTTCTTAACCTTATTTTATGGGAGGGGGAAAAATATCAAAGCCTTTCACGTTGTTGATAAAGCTGGCACGCCAGTCATATTTGCTATATGTAACTGACAGATTTCATGGTTTTGAAATTAAAACGGACTTTTAATTTTTTTTGTGATGGAAATTCTACCAGACTTCATAGACTATCGCTTTGGGGAAAAAAATATTAACAAATAAAGGGTCGCGAAATCGAATCAACTAAAAGACTAGATTATCGTAAATATTGTTAAACCAAAAATGAATTATTTCTCAGAGTGTTATTTTTCAAAGACGGAAAACAGGGCTCAACGTTTTACTTTAAACAAACGGCCTTTTTTCTTCCCTTTTTCCTTTTTTTAATATTATAAAAATGAAATAAAAATAAAATAAAATAATCAGCGTACGGTGAAGTGTGGTTTTCGTTTCGAGGATTATGACAAAGACTCAAACAGAATAAAAACAAATAAGTTTTTTACTTGATATTACGATTACTGGCGATGATTCTCATCTCAAAATTTGTATGTCAATAAATKTGTAATGCTGAAAAAAATAAATACAGCGAGTTTCGGCGTGGAAATGTTTGCCAAATTATCCAAACATTTCAGACACTGTTTTTTTTTTGTTAGCGGAACTGAAAACGGTGTGAAACGGTTGATGACGTAAATGTAATAGTTACAGTAGACAGCTTGCAGGCCACAATAGGCCTAGATAGGTTTTGAACTTCGAACGGCTAGAAAAGTAAGCTAAATACATGAATTTTTAGTCATCTCAAAAGAAGAAAAAAAGAAGGAGGAATATATTAATTATGTAAACATTTGTAGATGATTAAGAAAAAGGAACCAAAACTGTTAGGTTTTTTTCAAACCTATTACAGTTACTGGTTATTTTACTACGTAAAACCCGATAATATTGCTAGATTATTGATAAMATACCGTGTGCTTTTTTCCTGGCTGATTGGATCAATCTCTGGTACTGAACATCACCCGTGAAGTCTGGACTAAAACTCTCAAAGTACGAAACTTGGTATCCAGGTTTTGAATCGATTTTCCTTTTGATAAGGCTTGCTARCTGCGACCACACTGGCTCTGTTGATGTCAATATTGCAATCCTCTTCCATCCATATTGTTTCATTAGTAGTAAGAATAGGTTGCCAGACTGGCTGAAAGAGCCGACGGTTCTCACAAAAGTCGGGTATGAGGACTTATCCGATAAATCTTCATCGATACATCCATAAGAAATCATAGGTAAATCCCAATGAGCTGCTAAAAACCCGCAAGACGTGCATCCCATTGAACAGGCAGGTCCTATGAATACATCAATACTTGGCTTCAAAACCCTTAAATCCGATAGAGCTTGCAAAGATGGACCAATTTGGCAAAAACTATCTTTCCAAATGTAGGACAAATTGTATTCAGGTAGTAGATTAAGGTGTCGTACTTTGTCGATTGCTACTATTAYAGCTGAGGCCAGGCGAGGACCAGCAGGCCAGCTTCCATTCCAAGGAATCAAAGCGCCTATTCGTAAATCTTTTGAKTCGATTCCTTTTCGATTTCCCGCCAAAACGAAGAGCAATATGATCGCTGTCAAGATTCCATGTATCGTTGAAGCGGYCATCATGTTTTTGCCAGAAAAGTCCAAAAGTACCCCAAGCTAGTAGTTATATTCATCAATTCTCATGATTTTGAACAAGCCGTCTCCCAAGTTGCWAATGGAACCTCTAGTCCGGAAATTTTAACTTATTGTTTTAAATGTTCAAAATATCGTTGATTCAAAGTGTTCCATTAGTCAGAAACGCACTCCAGTGACGAGTAGACAGTAGGAGAGACCACCTCTTTGATTGAAACAGTATACATTAGTATGTACTTGTTCTGGAGCATACGTTCTTGTTATATAGTGTCAACAATAACTTAATTTYAACCCCTTAAATTTGCATTTAAAAAAATTTGAATCGAAAGAAGGCTGAAGATGAAGGTATTGCTAGTTTTCAAAGCCGACACCTCGGTTGAATTAAACAAAAGACTTGTAACTAGTCTAGCTGTTTTGTTAGATTAACCAACTTTGGTTACCGTTTCTCTTTGAAATGATTGCAAACTAGCAATTCTTAGTTCCTCAATATTTATCATTCTTCAAAGCAAAACAAAATAACGTTTTCGAATATCGATCTTTTCTGATATTTTGTGAAATGACGATAAAATTATCCATTATAACTATGGTTCAGCAAGGGTCTAGGTGAAACCAAATAAAGCAATATAGTAATTAATTGTGGTAGAATCTATTGCATTTTACACATAACTTGTTATAATTTWTTTCTTTTTCCTCTCCGCAAACTTGAGATCTACACTTGTACGGACGGCGAATTTTAACTTATCATTCTTTGTTTCTGAGAAGACCAAGATTTCTGGAGCGAGGCCATGCCTAATTTACCTTAAAAATTCTATAGTACGACTCATAGAAGCGCGGCTTTATTGATAAGTTTCTAGCTATGCGTAAAAACAGACAGCTTTTTAAAAATTTCACTAACAAGCCGCTAATCAAACTGATTACAGTGAATTGGTGGCGCGATTCCCACTGGCTTTCCATTCAAATATCTTGGTGGGTTTTGTCAGTTTTCAATTATTTTATTTCTGTCACGTCCCTGTCGTATATTTTATGCTAAGATCCAACTCAGGCCACTGAAATTAATTWAAAAATATGAAGCATAGTTAGTGTCTTGGCGTTAGTTTCGTTTCATTAAGTCAACGCGTTTGTACATAAAGTGATTTTAAGTTATAGTGTCGTTGTGAGCCGCTTTTTATTTAATATTAATTTGAATTACCGTGCCGTTTCTTAGCTGAATCCTTTCAGTATGTCAAAATCGTACAAATATTTAAAAGAAAAGAAAAACTGAGTGATAGTAGTTGCTTAGTATATTACTTTATAACCTCTTACAACATGTAACGGTGACAAATCTTGAGGTTGATAAATTAAAGTGAGTCATGATGAGCCAACATAAATTCTTGTTTTCATATGTACATGTAAAGCCGTTTTTCTTCCAATTGTTCGATTATATTTTATTATTTAATTCCGTCCTATCGCTATGAATCAAATAAACGCACTCCCTTTTTTGCTTTTGAGACATTTAATATGGGATCGACCCAAGCTAGTTAGTTCTATCATAAATGGTTTTAATTGTTGTCTGTGAAAGAAAATCAAGCACTTGAAAGAGTGTTTCATCCTCTATCCAAACTCCTCGAAGTTGGTYAAAAAAATCTGYTCCGCCTCRTTCTTTTACGTACACACTTCTAGATCTCGGTGTTTGAAAATCGGCTGCCACTCCTTCATTGTGTTTGATATATTACGTCAAAATGAATAACATAAAACTTTCATAGTTCGATCAATATTAGGCCGTGCTTTCTTTAGGTTTTAAGAGACAATTATTTTCGTACTCAAACAGTGAGCGCCAAAAACTATTTTCTTGAAGAAAGGCTGTTGTACAAGGCTAAAATCTTGTTATTCAGAACTTGAAAGTTTAATTCGTTTGGAAGTGGAGATGACCGATGAAAGTGGCGGRAATCAAAGTGTTAACCCAAAGCAAAACTTTTATTCGAAAATGAGGTTTAGGCCTTCATTTGCGTATTTCCCATATATTTCCGATAAAAAAGCCTGACAAAAGCAACAATCTCTAACACAAATGCAACAAAACATCTTTATACAATTGAAAATACCGCTTCAAACAGTCGTAGTTTTATCATAGTATACATCACTGTTTCTAACTGTTTAAAAAAGGTTTTGAGCGTTAACCCAAAACGAAAATTGGGATCAAAACTCATACGAAAGTCTAGTTTTTGGCGCTTTTTGCCATTATTGCTCATTATTGAAAAAATTTTCCTCTTAATTCTATTTTAAATTWTATTTTTCTCTGGTCATTTTTAACAGGCTTCAGGGACACTTCAGTTTTGCAGTGATGTGAGACCAGGATCACAATCAAGTGGTTTACACGAGGGTCCTAAAAAAACTATGAACCTATAACTTAATGATAATATATAGATAATAATGTTGAAGAGATTAAATGATTAATAATGATAGAAAGAGTATAAAAAACTTGACGCTTGAAGGAAGCTACTAAAGAGTTTTAGATTTACGTTCACGGCAAACTTGAAACGTCAGTTGACCATTTAAAAATTATTTTAAATAGCTTAAAAAGAATCGCAAAAAAGCCCAAGTAATAGAAAAACAAAAGAATATTTGTCTTTGGTGAGAAGGTTTGTAAAAGGTAAAGTAAAGTACAGGAAAACGATGAAAACTTGGTCACGTTTGCCGTTTGCAGGGAGAAAAAAGTCAATCTAAAACTCTCTAGTGTGTGGGGCATTTCTTATGTCACTGCTAAGTTGGTTGCATACGTTTTAGCAAGAATGAATAATAATGAGTGGCCCCACTTTCTGTTCGCAGAGGATTTTCGAATACTGTTCTTAGACGGTATTGCAGTTATGAAAATCGCCGTTAAAATATGGCAGAAAAGAGTGCTCAAAAAGGTTATTTTTCTACGTCACTATTTCAGATCAGCAGCTTATGGRGGGAGGAAAATCGGACCAAAACCCTTGAAACACAACAACGAGCCTGAGAATCGTTTTTGGGGAGGGGAGGGTTAGGGTTTAGGGTCAGTGGGAGTCACCCTAGCTCCTAGGGATCCAATATATAGGTACTCACAGGTTTTGTAGTTTTTTTCTAAATGCTCAAGATCGTAACCTGTGAATAATTGTCCAAGGTGTTAAAAAAGGTTTCTATCATTGCAAACTCAACGTTCGTCTCGCTTGGATGCAAAGGCTCGGCTACCTTTCAAGATGGCGCAGAGAACCGTGAAGGGGACTATTGCTTTATGTCCGTTCGAGACGAAAAAGGAAGTAAATAAAGCTCTTGCATACAGTGAATTGGCTTAACTTTGCAGTTAGAAGGCCGAGTCTTAGTCTGTAGCTGTACTTGAATTGGAAAGCATGGACCTATTTAAGGGCCAATGGCCTAGTAAGGACGAATGGC